CTGTGGCCATACTGGTATTTAATTAACAAAACCAAACCAAACCCAATATTATGAGTATGTCAAACCAAATATGATGAGTATGTCAAACCTAATATGATTATTATGTCAAACACAATATGGTAAATATGTCAAACCCAATTGGTTGAGTTTGGCAAATCCAATATGATGAGTATATCAAAACCAGAATGGCGAGAATGTCAAATCCAATATGATGAGTATGTCAAATCTAATATGATGAGTATGTCAAACCCAATATGATGAGTACGTCAAACCCAATATGATGAGTATGTCAAATCCAATATGATGAGTATGTCAAATCCAATATAGTGAGTATGTCAAACCCAATGTGATTATTATGTCAAACCAAATATGGTGAGTATGTCAAATCCAATATGATTATTATGTCAAAACCATTATGATGAGTATGTCAAACCCAATATGATTATTATGTCAAAACCAATAAAGCGAGTATGTCAAATCCAATATGATGAGTATGTCTAACCCAATATGATTAGTATGTCAAATCCAATATGATGAGTATGTCAAATCCAATATGATGAGTATGTCAAATCAAATATGATTATTATGTTAAACCCAATATGGCGAGTATATCAAACCCAATATGGTGAGTATGCCAAACCAAATATGGTGAGTATGTCAAACCCAATATGATGAGTATGTCAAATCCAGTATGGTGAGTATGTCAAACCCAATATGATGAGTATGTCAAAACCAAAATGATGAGTATGTCAAACCCAATATGATGAGTATGTCAAACCCAATATGACAATAATCTCAAACCCAATATGATGAGTATGTTAAACCCAATATGATGAGTATGTCAAACCCAATATGATGAGTATGTCAAAACCAATATGTTGAGTATGTCAAACCCAATATGATAAATATGTCAAATCTAATACATACTCGTATTATGAAGGATATGTTTAACACATTCTGATGAGCGTGTCAAACACAGTTTAACAGATTATGATGTGTATGTTAAGCTCAGTATTATGAATATATTAGGCACATTTTGATAAATATATCAACGCATTTTGCTTAGTAAAAAAGAGAAAATAGAATCCCTAAAGAAAGCCCAACACGGCAAAAATGAAAATGTTGCAAGCTCGGTTTGATTGAGCTGCTCATGGACGGTACTGTCAAGTGCAAACTACTATCGACGCCCCTAGCACCGGCTTAAGCAGAATTCAACATTTAACGTGAACTAGTACAATTTTGAATTTTGAAACATCTGCAGATGTGTCGCATTCAACACTATGACTAGTATGATAAGAATATAAACTATGCACAAACAATGAATGGAAAAGTAAATACCCACAAAAGATTTAGAAAAAGTAATTTTTCTACATATTATAGAACAGAACAGTCTTATTGTATAGTTTACATACAAATTATTGTTTAAAATAGATATTGGCATACATATTGAAAGATTAACGAATTCATTTAAAATATTTAGCATGGGAAGATAAATTATAGGTCTGAAAAGAAATATATATCATAGCATTAAACAAACAATTTGATAATAAAATATCTCCATTAATATTTTCCTAGTAATATTCACGTGAAGTTTATCAATCAAGTGGATTGTTTTGATTATTCAATATATCAAGTCAAGTGCAGAATAACGCATTTCCGTGATATATTTACTTAATCGTTAATAAATTATTTACTATTTCACTTTACTTCACTTTCACGTCCATTACTAATTTGAAACATGAGATAATGGTTAAATTTCTTTGTATTGGTAGTATAGTGAAAATTATTTGGATGACCTTGGCTTATATCAGTCAATTTAATTATGATTTATAGAGTAGAATTACATGATTTTCAAAGACCCAAAGACAATTCAGTTACCTTTACCCTGCTGTGTGTGCAAATGGGTTTCCCAAGCGTTTAATTGTTAATATGAGGTATTTTAACTGCTAAAAGATATATAATAAACATCCTTGAGGAAATTATTTTAATCACAGAAATTTATTGAAATCTATGACATTTTTTCTTAATATGTCAAATGTGAATAAAAGAATGAATAACCTATGTATTGGTCCTTTAAACTACCGGTGTTTTTAATGACACTTTATATTCATATTGTTGACACCAATAGTGTCATACACTGTAACATGTCTACTTTGTGTGAAGTCAAAACACGTTTATTATTTATTTACAAAGAGACTGTGTAGCAATTATCAATGTTTTCGGATATCAAATTTGAGCATAGTACATATAAAATATTGGACAAGGGACTAAGGGACTTAACTTGTGCATAGATATGATAGCCTTTTCTTACGCTCTTGTTCCTCTTGGATAAGAAAAATATTGATAATATAAAAGTAAAAATTTACCAAACTGAGTGATTATAATTATATACAGTATTATATAAACATTGTAGGCAGGAAGATAATACATGATTTTAGGACTGCATTCTGTGCCATTGACTGGACTCGAGATGACCGATGAGACGAATAAACAATTGCATTTAGATGGTCTTTATCACATAATAAGTAATCAGTAATCATAAAGTTAAACATATTTATTTCAGTTCGATCATGATAAGTCATTTTCAAGTCCGATTCTTAGAACTTATCATTCCTGGTGTCAACACAGTCGTAACTTCATCACGACTCGAACTCATGATAACTCGGCCGACAAACAGACACCTTGACTTAGATATAACGTGATGATGCACATCAACAATCTGCTACATGTTATATTCTTTTAATAATTTATATCGTTTATAATTGTTTATAATAATGTAAATAATTTGCTCTAACTGCATTATTACAAATTCGTTACAATATACAGGCTGCTGACGGAATTTACTGGAGACTATTTCCCATAAATAAACTTTCGGTGTGCACCACGCGATGTTCCAATATAAATCATTATTAGATACAATCTTATTAATTATGCCTTGTTTTTTTCCAGAGACCAAACAGTTCGTCAAATGAATATGTATCCCATATATACGGTGGCATAGAAATGACATTTGCATATTTGTTTTATTTTTTTTATCTCGTGGCCACGACTTATAATCTTGTGGTCACGAATTATTATCTTGTGGCCTCAAGATATTTCCTCGAGGCCAGGACTTATTATCTTGTGGCCTGGAGATATTATTTCCTGGCAACGACTTATCTTGTGGTCACGACTTATTATGACGTAGAAACAAGTTATTATCTTGTGGCATGACTTATTATCTTGTGGCCTCTCGTTGCTACGACTTATTATCTTGAGGCCACGACTTATTTTAGCCAATGAAAATGGTCGTTTCATATTGAACAAAAGTTAATATCACAGTGGCGATAACTTTCACAGGAGGGACGGGCCAAAATTGGTGCTGTGATATAAAGAGGTCATTATACATTGTTGGGGACAGTGCTGATTCTACTGGACTCGTAAACAGCCGCAAAATTTATATCGGACTCGGCGCATCGTCCAATAAGGATTTGTGTACTCGTCTATTAAATCAACAATGTTTAATAATCTTATTCTATGATTATTCTCATACACTTTTCGAGATCCAAGAAGCCAAGAAAAGGTCTGTCAAAATCTTTATAATAAACAAGTTACAGATATTCGGTTAGATTAGCTCAACTGAGTGTTTAAAATACGCAGGCGTTTCTAAGCAAAATACACTTTTGCGGTTTTATTGCTAAACTTGACGCTAAAAAACGGATTCCTTAGTATATCTAATTAAAGCGACAATGAAAGTACATAAAAGATTTTATTTAAAAAAGCAATTAAAATGTTAGAATTATGATGATGTTTTTTGAAGTGGTATCAATATAAGCACTTCTGTTCCAAAAAATAACACTATTCACAGTGAAGTTGCATAATACGCGTAACGCCTGTTAGTCATATTAGTTGCATTGACTATTGACACAATTAAACAAAGTAGCAGACGACAAACTAACTATAATAAACTAGTCTCCTCAAGGTTATAAAGCTTTGAAATCTTTCATGTGTCAAGTGGTGACTTTTTTGCGCAATACTTTAATGACTCATATAAATGATTTGCCTGCAGTATAACGATGTCTCAATAATGAAGAGCTCATTTTAACCATTAATCTGGTGCTGGGACTAAAATATGTAATGTGTATCTTTTTGTCGCAGCCTGGTGGAACCGGAAACGATTAGCCTTTGTCACTTGTATACCTTCAGGTCAGCCTGCACATACAGGCTCTACGCTGTTGGCTATCCATTCCTCTTTTTTCCTCTTGATATTCCCTATATTGGTAATGGACTGCCCCGTAAACGGAAAGCTGGACAAGTTCATTTATGAAATTCAGCAGGTAAGGGGTTAAAGATAGCAATGGTCAAACTCAGTCAATTACATCTGCAGATTTAAGCTTCACCGTAGCTTCAGTCATGTTCCATACAAAATGTCTGCTAACAGATCCGAGATAGATGAAGTTTTTCATTAAAACTTGCTAATTTTAGTTGGTATGTAAAACTTATCTTGATGCGGAGTATTGATGTAAAATGTTTACTTCTTGAAATTTTCCATTTGAAGGAATTGAGACAAATTATTTGCATAATCCTTCTTTCCGTAACTGTGCTTAGGTATCTGTTTAAAGCAAGTATTTTAATAATGTTTTGATTTACACATTTCTTTTATTTCATATGTTTGACTGAACACCCTTTTCAAAAGTCTATTGTCCGTCCTGAACTTTATTTTCATGAATGCTTGTTAGTTTAAACACAAATTTTCAACTCTCCCGGGTTTTTTTCTTCATTGATACTCGTTTGTATTTTGTACAATTGCCATTGTGTTAAAGCGTTTGAATAGATTTCAATTCCCCATCTCTATTTATTGAAAACTATAACTACTTAAGTTTATAATCATCATATCCGAGTGGCTTGACCGTTTTTGCAAACTGTCCCCCCTCCCCGTCCACTTTGTTGTCATAGTAACAAGTGGGAAGAAGTTCATCATTGTGATATCACTCGTTTGATACGATTATGATCACAATAACAACAGCCTTTAGCTTATGAGGTAAGAGTTTTATGAATATTAATTTACCATGAAATATTTGTCTTCATTTTGCTGATCTTATAAAAATTGTTCATAGATAAAGTATTAGTAACACTATGCTCTTCACTATTGGAGGAAAAAAAGTATTTATCTATCTATTAAATTTTTCAATTCTTTAAAACTATTAATAAAAAATAGAGAAATTTCATATTTTTTTGCAATTTACAATAGTTCGAAAGAATTTTCCCAGTCTCTGCATGGATAAAGAAAACTTTAAGGGCGTCTATTAAAAAAGTATACATCATATTTGATCAGTCAAATAAACTGTACCATGATAAAGAATTAATGGAGACGACGTGTTTTTTTTTTTTTGAAGCCATAACTAGTAACTTTGTTTTTAGTCAAGAAATAATTAATTAATTGATTAAGTAATTAATTAACTGGTGTCATCATATAAGTCATCCTAGGGAATATTATTGTACATACACTTTATATAGTTTCTACCATATAGCGTTCATTTTTATACTCTGGTGCGGGCATTTATTTCAAGACTCTTGAAATTTATCATATTTTTGTTGTAAAAATGAAAAATAAACATGCCTTCTATAACGTAAATAAATAAAATGTGGACCACTCTAAAGGAAGCATGCTCGGTTAAATGTTTACATATAGATTATGCACGTTAAATACGGGAAATTTAAAGTGTTTATTTTTGACAAATTAGTTTTAAATTATTTGCAAAAATAAATAGTTAAAAACCTAATCGGATCAAACCTTTTAACCCAAAAAATTTACGTCGGGCTATTAAAACATAAAAAAGGGGTAGAAATGTAAAAAAAAAAAACTTTCTCAAAATTTTAAATTTAAAAAAAAAAACCAGCCCACGATCAGTAATGTAAACTTTTTTATATTTTTACTTTAGGAAAAATTTTTTAAACCCAGCCACCCTAAGCTGGCCTGATCAATAATGGGGGCTCCAAAACTACACAGATTTGTATAGTTAACGCACAATGGTTTTTTCAAGTACGCTGGGTATCCCGTTTTTTTCATCCCCATTTTTAAAAAGACACCCTTTTTTCCCCCTGTTGGGAGCAAATTTTTTCACGTTGCTATACTTAGTTTAGGGCTGGATTTTGAAATAGATTTTTAAGATAAATTAAAAAATGTGAAAAAACACACTGGAGATTGGATATTAAAACATAACTTGAGGTATTATTTTAATCTAATGTTTACAATGTATAGTTTTTACTCTGTATGTTTTTTACTCACTCTCGAGTCGTCCTTTTTGTGTCAGTTGTTCTTCCGTGACACACATTATGCTTAAGACCTTGGTGTTGAATAGCATAATACTTGACTACAAATGAAAATATGTGTGAATACAATTGATTTTGATGACAATTGGACCTTAAACTGATGGTCAATTTTAAGGTTTTAGTCGGTTAATGCATTAGTCATTACACTATCTCCTTCAAACTATTTAACTGTGAAGCTTAACATCGTCTTTAAAAGGTCTATATGCATTTCAATAAAAAAGCAGTTTACACATTATTAAACTTTTAAAATTTTACGTTTACACAATATTTTAGTTTTATAATCCATAAATATTTTTTTAAACGTGCGATCAATGTTTTAGGGAAGTTTTAAAGAAATTGCTCCCTTGGAAGTATATAAAACAATTTTTTTCCTATTCGGATTTTGTTTTTTGATTTTTTCCCCGTTTTTTTTTGGTTAAAAAAATCTTTTAAAATATCGCCAAACCATTTAAAAATTTTTTTCCATCAAATTCTTTTTGGGGGCCCCCAGCGGGATAAAAAGAGTTAATATTTGTTTAACTTTTACCTCCTAACACCCTTTTAAACCCCCAAAGTAAAGAGCCAGACAACATGAAACCCCCCAAGGGTTTTTGCAGTTTCCCCCCGGGCTCCCCTAAATTTTTGTATTTTAAAAAAGAAAATCCTTCCCCCTTTAAAATTTGGCGTTCCAAATTAATTTCGGGAAAATCCATTTCAATTTTTAAGCGGGAAACATGGTTAAAGCAAGCTGGTACTTGGCCTGATACACATGTTCAATGTTTACATGAGAATTATATATTTGCCAATCAACAAAGACTTAACGCTCTGCTTATGGTACACCCCAGTCTGCACTTCAGTGACTTTTGGACTTTTGACAAAAATCTTTAAATCGTTAAAATTTACGTTATTCAACAAACATTCAAAATGTGGTTTAACGAAATCGTTCCACTCTTTGAGGTATAAAGGAATACTAACCTAGCAATGCTTATTTATCGATTATGTCAATAATTAACATTGAACTTGAAAAATGTAAAATGAATGCATTCTTTCTTTCTCTGCATGGTTAATGAACTAAAAAAATAAGTTCATTCTAAAGTGTCTAACTGACATTTTTGAACTCATTATCTGTTTCCCAAGAAAATACAATATGCTGTTATTCGTCGATTATGAATCTTATGTAAACATGTATTTAAAAATGTTTAATTGACATGAATTTGTTCTCGCTTATATGTGGGAAATTATTTAAATATAATACTTCACAAACATGTGTTAGATATACCATTTAAATGCACCTAAAATGTAGTTCAGTACTTACAGTTTTCATTTTTTCCTATTTCACCGTATGGTATTCATATACTTAATTGATATACGTTGAGGTACACATATCGTATCATTTTAAATGTATACTTTAAATTACAAACAAATTGAAAATACTTAAAAAGATATCTTACTACTTTGTTGGTTCAACGACCTGCAATATAAAAATTTATAAAACGATGGATCTTTAAGCCTATTCTAATGAATATTTAAAGGCCCATTATGCCTCAAATATAATTTCATTTTTTCAAAAACTTTTTTATTTTTGTTATCTTGTTAAAGTTTCAAAAACAAATACTCATTTGTTATATAGATGAACCATCATCTGCTCTCTTTGCTCTGTTGGCAATTGGTATAATTACTGTGATTTACAAATGTAGTATTTTGTATGGATTTTGCTTAAGACCAAAATAAGATGTTAATATTATAAATGTGTCAAAAGGCATATTCAACAAATACTTTATTCAATGTCAAGTTGATTTGCATTTAGTCAGAACTTTGTTTAAAAAACAGCAACGTGAAATGCCATAATAAGATTACATTATTAGTTATACATATTTTTGACATGTAATATAGCCATTTATAATACTGCACGTCTGTAACGTCGCTTTTCCTTGGATAATCGTGACGTGTATAATTATGGCCCTTTATTACCCTTCCAGATTTTTTCCGCCTTTTTGATTGGTTATTGATCACCCGAAAGAAATTGATATAACCGAGCCAGACGGGTAATATACACACTAAATTTCCCCGTTTGGTACCCAACGTTGTAAACAACATGCGCTGAGGTGATGCGCGTACGGTTCGATTTTATGCGGTGTAAATTCCGATTTAAAAGCACTTTTTAACTGTCTAATGATCAATATTTACCAAAGTAGAGTAATGATACATATTACTATCAGTATCGAAAACAAATATGACCTTGTGAAAGCTTGATATTAATTACAAAAAAGTGCGTTCAATAGACTACTCCTTTTCTCTTGTTTACTTTCGTAAGGTACGGGAAAAATACGTCATGTATTTATGTGACGTCATGTTGTGACGAAGAGGTATCCTAAAGGGAATCTTATTTCGACGTTTCATTTGAAACAGCAATGATTTTTTTAAAAATCGTCTTAACTCGGCAGGGGAAGGGTAATAAAATTATTATTTTGGTTTTGGAGTGATATATGTGGATATATTACCTGCCAAGATAAAATATCACCCTCGCCTAACGGCTCGGGTGATATAAAATCTTAGCAGGTAATATATCCACATATATCACTCCAAAACCAAAATAACATATAATATAAACGGCTTTTTGTAAATATAACCCGAGCCGTTAGGCGAGGGTTATATTGCAAACAGCCGTTTATATACAGCCATATAACCTGTCAACAATCTTTATAACGAATTTAAAAAACAGCAAGCATCATTTTTATAGACAAAAGTAAGATTTTTTTTCATGAATCGACAGCAGCCGTGTATATAAAACTTTATTACCCTTCCAGATTTTTTCCGCCTTTTTGATTGGATGTTGATCACCCGAAAGAAATTGATATTACCGAGCCAGACGGGTAATATACACATTAAATTTCCCCGATGGGTACCCCACGTTGTAAACAACATGCGCCGTGCGATGCGCGTACGGTTTGATTTTACGCGATATAAATTCCAATTTACAAGCAATTTTAAACTGTCAAGTGATAAATATTTACCAAAATAGAGTAATGATACATATTCTCGTCAGTATAGGAAACAAATATGACCTTGTGAAAGCTTGATATTAATTCCAAAAAAGTGCGTTCAACAGACTACTCCTTTTCTCTTGTTTACATCAAGATAATACGTCATGTATTTGTGACGTCATGTTATGGTGAAGGGGTATCCTAAAGGGAATTTTATTTCGACGTTTCATTTGAAGTAGCAATTATTTATTTTAAAATCGTCTTAACTCGGCACGGGAAGGGTAATAAAATTATTATTTTGGTTTTGGAGTGATATATGTGGATATATTACCTGCCAAGATAAAATATCACCCTCGCCCAACGGCTCGGGTGATATAAAATCTTAACAGGTAATATATCCACATATATCACTCCAAAACCAAAATAACATATAATATAAACGTTACGATTATCCGATGAAAATGACGTTACAAACGTTCAGTATTATAAAGATATCTTACTTTTTCTAAACAAAACGATGCTTACTGCATTATAATTAGTTACAAAAGATTCCTGACATGTTATATGGCTCTATATAAACGGTTGTTTGCAATATAACCCTCGCCTAGCGGCTCAGATTATATTTACGAACAGCCGTTTATATAGGGCCATATAACCTGTCAACAATCTTTATAACTAGTATTATTAACGGTTGATTGAAAATATAAAGCGAGCCGTTAGACTAGTATTATATTGCAAACGTCCATATAACCTGTCAAAAGTATTTATAACAAATTAATAATACAGCAAGCATCATTTTTAAATTTATTTTATTTTTATTCACTTATTTTTTAAGATATTTTTTTCTTAAATTGTTACATAAATGTCACGGTTATCAAATGAAAAGTAAAGTTATAAACGTGAAGTATTACAAAACTTTTTCAACTTTGCTCTTATCGTACTGGTTGAAGCGGATATAAAAACAGAAAATCCCATGTGATTTTTGGAAAATGAACTCAACAGAATATAAAAAGTGCATTCATTTTACTGATTAAAACAGTAACAATATCAACTATATTTCTAGCAATAAAAATCTTTAAGTGTTTTAAGCCATAATATTAATAGATTATACATATGTGAAGTGAATGTTATATGGCATGTAATTATCAAATAATAACAATATGATCATTGAAAGAACATTATTTTATAAAATAACCCATTTTAAGGAAATGCGTGCTAAAACAGTGCAATTTTAACTATAGTCATAGTTTACAAGCAACCGACACTTTGGGAAATTCAGACGCTTGTTTTAATTGCTTTGATGATTAAGATGATTGTGAGACATTTTATACATGTACATTCGCACGATCATAAGACAGTATCGCCAAAGTATCTTATTTCCGGGCCCCCTTCTACTTTTTGAGAAAACACTTCATCTTATCGTTGATTGGCCCCAAATTGATAGTTTTGTACTTTGACAAGATAGTAATTTGTCTATATCAAACTATATATGTACATCCTATGTAGATCGCGTATAATTGTTTTTGCAGTTCAATGTTTGTATCATAAACATTTCAAAATTTGAACTTTGAAATAAAGGAAAATACTTATAATTCAATTAAGAATGTAGCAGTCCAGGAAAAATGGACTTTGTAATTGTTTTTAAAGTTTTTTATCATTTGTTCTTACTTTAACTGATGTATACCTCTTTATGATATATCGGCCTATAACTTGGGGCTATTTTAGCTTCATATCGTTTCAATGTTTTTGTTTTATTTTTTTTTTTTTTTTCAGATAAAACAGAAATGAAAATGAAATACTAAGGGAAAATGCAATCTCGTCTGCTACAACACAATCAGCGGGTTGTAAACATTTGACGTTCATAACTGATTTAGACAATACAAAATTACAAGAATGTCCCATAATGGAAGGTTTGCTATGACTACCGAAGGAATCGACAAGGTAACCAGTGAAATGATCGCCATAACGACTGCAAACACTGCGAGTAAATATAGCTGGAACCAAAATGGAACTCTCGACGAGGACGATATTCGACGAGATCAAAATTCAAAAAAGGTTTTGCTGCTCCTTCCGGTTATTATATTCGTATTTCTGTCGATTCTAATCGGGATTGTTGGAAATTTCCTTGTGTGTTATATATACAGATTCCGACTCCGGCGGTCGCCATCACGTTATTTTATTCTGTTCTTGGCGCTTTTGGATTTGATATCATGTTTTGTAGGGGCAGCTTCAGAACTGACAGATTTATTTCAGCCATACGTGTTCACGGCAACATGGTCATGTAAAATTCTCAGATTTGGATTGTCATTCACAATTATATCAGCAAGCTTTACACTCATTTGTGTTGCGTTTGACAGATATTACAAAGTTTGTAGGCCTCTGAAAGCGTTTCCGGTGAAGAAAGTTAAGATATTGTGTATCGTTGTCGTCTTTTTAAGTATCCTTCTATCTAGTCCTGCTCTGGTAATATTTGGACTGAAATCCGTTGAAATTGATGGATATGACGGACTATTCGGAACGGAGTGTTCCACGGCAGACACCGTCAGAAAGACCGCGCTTCCTATTGTTTACTACATAATACTCTTCAGCGCGTTTCTTATACTGCTCACGAGCTTCGTTCTTTTGTATGTAAAGATAGGACTTGAAATTTGGAAAAGAAAGAAAAAGACAATTGGAGAAACGTTACCTACTTTAATAAAAGAGATTAATAATGTGCAATGGACAAGAAACACAAGGACAGAAAGTGTTCCTCTTGACGATCCATCTAGTCGCTCCGCAGACGATTACAGTGAATCACGTGCCGGATGTGAATCTATAGAATCACGTACCGGATGTGACAATCGAGGTATCGTTGAAAGCGAAAGCTTTCTTGGCACGTTGGAAAGGACAGACTCATGTATAAACGAACAAAACACAATAAACAGGCAGAAACCTGTTCTGAGGAGACGTAGGTCAAATTTAGGCCGGATGTCTATAAGAACATTAAGGACTACCAGTATCTTCTTTGCAGTGTCGGCTGCGTTTGTTCTAAGTTTTCTGCCATATCTGATCGCAAACATTCTCAAATTTACAAAAGTTGCTTTCTCTGATATACAGAATCCTGCAGAAGAAGTTGTTTATAACTTTTGTGTTCGCTCATATTTTATAAGCAATTGTATAAATCCAATTATTTATAGCGCATTGAATGTTAATTTCAGAAAGGAATGTAAGAAATTGTTGAAACGTATTTTACAAAGAATTAAACTCTGTTGTTTGTGTCGATCTGAATAAATTATATCAAATGTTGTTACGACTTTATGTGTTCAAATGGGTCATATTTACCGTCTACATGTATAATCATGTTGACTCAATAGAGTGTTATGATGTTTGTTCCATTTTCATGAAAAACAACAATTTCAGATAAGTGATAAGACCTAATGACTTAAAGAAACATTGAATTCAAAGTGTTATAACATTTTGTTGAATAGAATATAAGCGATTATAAAAAATTAAATAATAACTACATCAATACACTTAACAAAAGTTCTAACCGATCACTTTTTAAATTATGATTATTTTATAACGGGTCAATAGATCCTTATAAAATTTTACAGAGGTCATTTTTGTGTCATTTTCTACCGATTTGTGGAATGAAAAATAATTTAATACGGTTCCATGCAGTCACGCGGGAGATAGGGCGAGGTTTACACATTTTGGCACGAAATGTTCGTGCAGAGCGTGGTGAGTATTAAATGTTACATTGCATAAATCCTTGTTAACTTTATAAGTGAAAAAACATAAAACATGGCACAAATGTCGATGCAGGATCGTGCCGTAGCAGTTCGAATGTTGAATGCTGGGGCCTCTATCAGACAGGTGAGTGGCTGTAATCATAAAAATATATTTTTTTAAATATCGATACAGTATTATTTAAATAGAAAAATGTTATAATTTATTATTCTCAGTATGTTCATTCTCTTCGAAATAAAATAAAAGTCGGATCTATTGGTATTATTCTTTTTCATATATAAGCGAAAACTCAGGGTGATCGGTTAGAACTTTTGTTCAGTGTACATACAGTATTGTACAGTCCTGTATATTTTTAAAAAAAACATCTATCTTTCCATTGAAAATGTAAGACCGATTTTTGCAGTCATATATTCGCCTAGTCCAATAGATTAGACGTTACAGGCTTGTTATAGTTTTATGTTGGTCAAGCCTTTACGTCTAATAGTTATTGCTCAAAAACGCGTAGCATTTTGAAAAATTAAAAAAATGTCTGTTGACTTGCCTTTCAAGCTTTATTCAAAAGCTTATCTTCTGTTCTTTCAATTGCATGGTCTATCATTAACAAAAACTTTCAAACAATGTACTTATCAATTAAAAATAAAATATAAATATCAGTCTATTTCGCTCATCGGCCATACTGGTTAAGTAAAGCGTTTTACAGATTGATTCCAATTTTTTGAACGGAAAAATATATTTGAACACACTGACGGTGCATGGGCAATTATTTCGTTGAAAAAATATTCCGTTAGAAACTTCTGGACTCATTTAAACGCTTGCATTTGAATTAGCCAATCAGAATTCGCGCACTGTATGGCGGCCATTTGTATATCAGCTGTACAAAGAATTTAATTAAATGAGAGGATTTAATCATGACTTTTCGGTTGTGACAGTTCAATTATTTTGTTTAAAGGTATTTATTTTTTAGTTTTGTTCATAAATAGGTCAAAATTAATGTAAATACACGCTGTTTTAATTGTTTAAATTCATTAGATCTAAATCGATGTCTAATGTCAATTTTTTTGCTACACGATTTTGCAAAGATCTGTTAAGACCTAACGTAACATGGAAAATGAAAAATGTAAAATATCAGATTAATGAATGATAAATATGAAATAGGTTACGTATAGGTCTTATAATTAGGACTAATATTCGCCTTATTATAAAACACTGTTCATAACAGTAGTTTGTGTAACACATAAACTCCATACCACACATGTGCTGTCTGTGTAAATTTAAATTGTTCTATTGACTATTTTGACTGCTACCAGACTGAGAAAAATATTTCTAATCTAGTTTGGACAAGTGGTATATTACATTTGCAAGCCCGTGTTGCAATGTATATCATTTCAGCTGAAACACATATCAGCCGCGTCACGACAAAACCAACATAGTGCGTTTGCGACCAGCATGGATCGAAACCAGCCTGCGCATCCGCGCAGTCTGATCAGGATCCATGCTGTTCGCTATCAGTTTCTCTACCTGTAATAGAGTTGGTAAGCGCATGCTGGTCGAAAACCCATTATGTTGGTTTTGTCATGATGCGGCTCAATTACCATTTGAGTCAGAGGTGACATAATGACATAGCCTCGAGTAGTATCAATCTCTTTGTGTTTATTGTTACTTTCACCAGCATTCTCTTTATTTATTAGATTTAATGTGTGACTTTATCCCAGTTTATATTTTTTGTAAAACAATGGTAAGCTGATGATAATTTTCTAGCAAATCATTGAACAAGCGTCTAGAAATTATATACCACAAAAACATGTTGAATACTGACAGGAATATCGTCACCATCTAACACCACGTCGATCTTGTTGTTCATGACAGAAAGGTTCACAACCATATATAGATTCACCACTTACATGAGAAAAAATCAACAAATAGAATAACCTTCCAGGCATTTCTTTTTTCGATTGTCATTTTTTTGAAATAGTCTTCAAACATTTTGCCGTCCACCCAAGTTCTGTTGTATATTTCTTTTATCTTTTTAATCTTTACCCTTTAAATAACATCAGGTCATAATTTTGTCACCAGCTACACCACAGAGCGAACGACCGTTATCCTCTCATTAGATTTTTTACAGCCTTTAGTGCCACCATTAAGTAAAACGTCTACCTCAGCGTATCATGAAAGAACAACCAATTGCATATTGAATTGTTGTCCGCCAATAATCAGGTGAACTGTCTCAGTACGCAGCAGTATTCCCCTCCCCTCATCTGCTTTCACCTCTCATGTCTCCGAATATAATATTCTATAATTCAAAATTAAAAACTTGGATGTTTTAAATTAGGAATTGCTCAAATTTATAGAAAGTCAAAGGCTTTTGATTTCAGTAAGGGACCTTTCACAACATTTAAGCTTTAACCCATTATTTTGCTGATTGTTGATGTATCATGTTAAAAAGGTACAAAGTCAGAGAATCCAATAATTATACATTTTACTTTTTAGGAGGGTTTCAATTGTATGTGTTGTCAACATCAAAATGTTAATCCTAATCAAGTCGCTTTGAAATTGTGTCATATTTTTGCTGTGTGCAAAAAAAATCCTTTTTAGCTTTGTTTCCGACATTTGTTTTTCAAAACCAGAAATTAGAAGAAGACGTGACTGAGAGGTGCAAAAACTAGCTTGGTAAGTAAAACCGTTCAAATCGCTGCCACTACATGCATTACATGGTGAGTCTCTGGATAGAGTACAACTATTTGACGGGAATCAAGTCGCTATGGCAGTGTTGACTGTATGTTATTTAAGATTGGAACAGACTATAGTCTAACATGCTGCATAAGGCTTAACTGTTGAATCATCCAACAAAACAATCATACCTGGTGCCTCCCTGAGCGAGATTACAAGCTCTTTAGGCATACCGTGTGCGTCTCTAACGCAGTGGAAAGTCGCAAGCTTCGAAGCACTTGTCCCTCGTGCAACACAATCCAAATTGGTCAAAAGACTCTGTATATTATTCTTTCTTTACTTAAGCTAATAACCTGTGTCTATTCAAGTGTGAGTTCGTGCCTGGAAAAACAATTGGACGTGCGCAATGGGTGTCAAAGTGGCTTAATCTAATTATTTGCTGCTTGTCCTTCACGATGATCATGTATATGTAATTGACTCCCTTGCTCATATTGTGAGCAATTGTGAGTGAAACATTTTGCTAACTATATTAACATGGTATTGTACAGGTCAGTTTAAACCAAAATATCAGCAGCGTGAAATGGTCGTTGTACGGACTAGACAGGGAGTCGCTACATACAGACCATTTATATAGTAAATACTGTTCAGCGTACCTAACTATGGTCACTAAAGACAGAACGTCGCTATATACAGGGGGTAGCTAAGACAGTCTTTACTGTATTTCCTTCTTTTTTACCAGCGTAAGATGACACTTATATTAACAAGAATGTTCTAAATAAAATCTAGAAAAACTATTTCAGACAAAAAAGGTAATCAATCATAAATGAAACGGAAGAATTAAATTTAAAGGTAGACTATGCTTATATCCGAGTATACACTTTAATTGCAGAAATGTATAGAAATCAAGGAAATTCGAAAAGAATGCACAAGCTACATTACCTATTACTGGTAAAGTTTTTTCTGTCCTTCCTTTAACAAATGATTCCGGGGGTTTTCTGTTTGGTTTTGTTTTTGTAATCATTTGTGTTAACATATATATAGTGTGTAGAGTTCACTGTATCTACGCAAATGATGTGTATATACATGTTAATATCATTTTGTATAATGAAAAATATTATAAAAGGGGAGGCAACTGTTATACAACATTACTGTCAATAAATACTAGGATCTGTTTCCCTTAATATTTAAGTATTGCGTCAAGTTAATAAGAAAAAATGAAGAGATACTTTATCAAATGAAGGTTTTGTTGTCAATAGTTTCAGAAATAAACCAATTCCTAATATCGTTCTTGTCTAAAGATACTTAGTTTAAGTTGAATTTGTTCTGTGTAGTATGGTATTTTGAATAATTAAAGACAAAAACCAAAAGAAAAATTAAAAAAAGAACGGAAAATTATACCTTACAAATTCACCAAAGCTAAAAACACATAGCAGCATTGAATGTACCTTACAAGTACAACAAAACTGAAAAATGTAACAACATTTTATGATCTTGAATGGCCTAATATGTTCAGAATAGAAAACATTATTCATATCTATATCGTGGTTGAATACAGTACAAAAAAAATATTCGACGTCCTAGACTTTTAAATGTCATATAATAAGAACAAAGGAATATTAATACATGTATATTATGAAAGATTCATATAATATTGAGTTACGTAAGTGCAAAGCAAAGACGCTGTAGTGCACTCATATAAATTGTTTTTAAATTATTTATTTATGTTTTATATAACATCATATTTATTCATATATTATTTATTTTTCTGTTACATAAACTAATATAGATGTTAATCATGTGTTAAATATGCGGATCAAAGACTTACACCGATAATTTAAGAAACAATAAAAATGCAAGAATAAACGTTTGGTATTTAACTTGGTTTTGACTTTAGTATAAAAGCAGCAGGTTCATCCTGTATTTAGTAAGTAAGCTAGGTCGAGGCACCAAAGACATCAAGTATGAATGCTTTTATTACAGGTAAGAATAAGTTATGTTGTATTTTTTTTGTAAGTGTTGTTTTTTCTTTTCTTATAGTTTTTTGTTGTTTTTTACTTAATACATTGCAGTTATTTCCTTACAATGTTTGCAAAACTTTTTTCCAAATTTCTATTTTTTTATGATTTAATATATAACCGTTTTCGACTTTCTCTAAAAAAATTATAGTACATGTACATGTGTATATGAGAAAAAAAGAAGAAAAACTCCTGTTCTAACAGATATGGCATTTTCGGAATATTGGAATGAAATAATTATAGCGAATTCAACAGATCTTTGTCTCTTTATGAAACCAAATATATCAAGAGGGTTGCGGCGTTCTTATAGTTGATACTTGAAAGTATACAAACCACACATTTAATAAATGATTTCTATATGTACTATATTTTTTCTTAAGTATAAATTTATCTTATGTTTATTAAAAGCCAGTTTACTATTTTTCCTGTTTGTTACCTCATTGCATGTGCCTTGTTTGTATACATGTGATGTGTTTGGTTGCTGTCTTTGACGGCGTTTTTTCATATGACGTTGAATTTAATTTGTTACTATAACTTTTTTCATGTGCATAAACAATATTTGATTTCTTTTTCATAAAAAAAATGAATGTAAATATACATACTTATAGATATAATTAATTATGTGTATTATATAGATCAGTTTTAAGAATAATTTGTGTAGAGGTACATGCCGTATTATAATCATACATTATAACTTTATTAATGTTACCAAAATTTAAGCATCAAACTATTTTTCAGTTATAGTTTTCGCCGCCATTTTGAGTGTGGGACACGCCTTTCCGTCAGAATGGGACAACGAAATGGGGAATTGGAATGGAAACAATTATGGACGTAACTACGGTAACCGGAATTGGGGCAATAATTTCCAAAATAATGTAAGACATATTGTTGATTTTTAGAAATACTTGTAAAGATGTTACTTTACTCTATATTTACTCTATTATTGTATAGAAATAAAGTAAAGATATAACTTTACTCTATATTGAATTTTGTAGTCTATCGCTTGCTAAATGCTATTCTGAACAATGGCCCAGGTGAGCCCCCAAGCCGCAAGACGAATAATACTGAATCACGTACATTCTTTGTATATGAAAAGGATTTCTTTACTGATTTATAAAAAATATGTTCTCACTTGCCCTTTACCGCTGTGTGTTCGAATCCCGACTTTGCTTTATTGTAAGGTAATTACCAAGCTAGCTTAGGAAAAATGTACTGAGGTGCCCGTTCGTACCTGAACATGTTCAAGAAGAGGTACCTTATTTTTGCCTCCGCCAGTAAAAGCTAAAAAGTCACCCCATGACCTTTTCAGTACTAATGTTACTCAAAATCTAACAGAACATGTATCCTTATGATAGTCAAAAAAACAAATCCCGGTAGGTCAGACAATTGTTGTACTTCCAAAGCTGTTAACCAGAATTCAGTTTTGTCCTATTTATGTCAGATAAAAGGTTATGTGAGCAATTGTTTCGGGTTGCTTATTTTTTGCTGTTTTATTTTATTCTATTGCTGTTTCATTTTTACTGTGTTAACAATGTGTGTAGTTTATATTATCACTACAACATATTTTTGTTTAACTTTGAAGGAATATTTTAACGGATGCGGCAGACGAGAATCAGACTTTGGACGCGACACGTGGTACTTCTTGCACACAATGGCTGCAAATTATCCAGAAAATCCAAGTCCTGACCAACAAGAAAATATGATGGACATGATGAGAATATTCGCTCAGTTTTATCCACGTCCAAATAACTACTTCAGAAGGAGGTAAGTATTAGACAAAGCATAATTTACATTTAATGTAGAGAGGTTAAACTTATTATTCAGTTGTAACTGTTGTAGTAAAGAGTTTATTGTGCTACAGAGGGCCACTCTATCGAGATTATACTGTAGATTTTTTTCTTACCTTTTTAATTAGTATGATGCAGTACCCACCAGACACAAGTAACAGGGAAAGTTTTTCACAGTGGATGTGTATGTTACATAACAATGTCAACCAGCAGACCGGCAATGAGGAGTTTGACTGTAATCAAGTGAACGACATGTGGACATATGAATGTTACTCTGGAGAAGATTGCGATCCTAGTAGAAGGAATTTCAACGAAGCAACATGGAATTTCATGCATACTTACGCTTACACATACCCCGAGAATCCGTCTCCAATGCAACAAGAGGACATGAGACAATTCATGTACCAGATTGCTGAGTTTAACCCATCTAATTATTATTATTATATGTCCAGGTAAGTGAATATATGTACACAACTTTTGACATAATAATGAGCCGCGCCATGACAAAACCAACGTAATGTGTTTGCGACCAGCATGGATCCAGACCACCTTTGCATCCGCGCAGTTTGATCAGGATCCATGTTGTTTGCTATTAGTCTCTCTACTTGTTATTGGTGTTTGTAAGTGAACAGTATGGATCCTGATTCAACTGCGCGGATGACTGCACTGAACGCTTAAGTCGGTTTGATCTTGTAAAGTTTTATACGTCTGACTTTCAAATTCACCACTTATTAACAAACATAGCGTTAAATTAACATCACTTGAGGTTTTATGTTTCTTTGGTGAAATATCCGAGGTTCGTATTTAAACATTTAACGTATTTGACCCTGATTTAACTTTAGCAAAACTAATGTGTGAGCTCGCGTTTGTGCGTGTGCGCGCATTCAAAGGTCACAAATACAGGATTTAAAACATATATATTAAATAACGCTCAAATGCGATTTTCCAGTATTGTGCCACAATGTAAAAATGTCTAAAATTGAATTACTTTTTTTTCTTTTCGTACAGCCTGTTTTACAATAAGCCGGATACAAGTAACCGTGAAAGTTTCATGAACTGGATGTGTATGACACACAACTATGTGAACGCCAGGATGGGTAAACCCGAATTCAATTGTGAAGAAGTGTGGGACGAATGGAGCTACAACGGCTGTGATAACTAAAACAAGAACTTTACTGTGATGTCATTTATAATGAACTCAAACAATGTAAAAAATAAATTTATCTTTTCCTTCAGCATCACATCTGCGTTTGTTTGGCTTGTTTTTCTATCTAATGAAAAGTTTTCAAGCTAGAAAAATTTCAATCCAGTTTTTTTTAGAAAAAAATATATATACATTAAAAAGTACAAACATAAATATTACACTTAGTCTGTGGTTAGGATAGAGACACATATAAGAAACTTAATACAGGGAAGTTGCATGTTTGGCATTAGACAAGGAAACAAATTGACAGAACAGCCTGGTGACCCCACCTCCACTCTACCTGACAAGGGAGAAAAACATAAGTCCCGCATACTTATTCTGGTATACGAATCATGATATATGCATAAACTATTTATATTTCATTTTATTTTATTAAACATATATAAATACATTTACAGCTACAAAATAAATAAATAACAATACAATCAAAAATAATATAAAGCAATAACAATAAATGCAATAAATGGTTTTCATTTAGCAATTATTACCTCCCTTGGCCACCATTATGAAAACTGATAAATTATTAATATATTAACATTTTCCTTCATATGTATAACAGAATGTATTAATTCACCTAAATCAGTTGTTTATATTTTTCATATTTTGTCAATTATAACCACAGCATGGCTGCTAATTTTGGCAAGGGAGGTAAATATTGTAAAAGTCTGGAAACATCTATAAAATAAAATAAAAAAATCTTCATTGCACTGCTCTTTGGACAATAAGAAAACACAAAAGTCGTTCCGACCACATGCAAAAAATAAATTAGGAATAATCATATAAAATTTTAGTTTATATGCATGATCAAAAATTGATAAGGAATAGCTTACAATGTAGAATATATGTATAAAATTTACAATGACAAAATGTGCAAAATGACCGATATAGATACAATGTATAAAATGGCCAGTGTCAACATGAAGAAAATGATCGAAGCGAACATGATGCCAACTTGTAGAAAATGGTCGATATGTAAGATGACTCCTACATTCATGACTTAATTAACCAAGTCTTCACTTCAGTAATTAAAAACTTTTTTGCATTCATTGAAAATTCAGCCTATTTTTTTCATACAAGCATACTTAAAAATGTTCAGTCTACTAAAGACTATTATTATACGATCATTATCTTTAGTCAGTTAAAAGAACAATATTTTCCCATTTCTCAGTATTGTGGACTATTTAATGCATTTTAAAGTTTTGTCTACAATGACATATATTCCATGCATTAAAGTTATTGTCTACTTAATCATGCGTGTTGCCATGGATATAAGACTTTACTTGTGGAAAGATCTTTCGTCATGTCAATCAAAACCATCAAGTGCTAAAATGTTACATCGCCATTTAAATATGCCGAGTCGTCTCCACAACAGTAAAATCTTATATCATTAAGGTTACTAGCACCGATATTTAGCATGTCTTTCTCGATATGGGTTTGAATCCCACAGATGACCGACTCTAATGGGCACTCCTCACTCCATGATGATGTTATATCTTTGTCAAATGGACTGTCCGTGAAAGAATGTTTCGTCCATTGCAAGTCACGACAGGAAAAATGTATTCCGTTGACAGATCTATTCTTCATGTTTTCACTCTGATAATAAAAGAGTATGTATTTATGTTAATAAAATTGGAGTTCTATGTGATTAGTAAAGGTTTCAAAAGTATTAAGAACGAGTTTGGATAGTGTATCTTATTGTCCATGATATGAAACTTGTCATCGTATATTGAATAAAACTTTGAAACTTTGATTATAAACATTGTTTGTTTGCTTGTTTCATTTTACGCCTTTTCCCAACAGTATTTCAGTCATATAGGCGGGTAGTTTCCTAACCATCGTTCCTGGAGAGTTGCACCAGTACAAGACTACCTTCCTCCGCACTAAACTACCAAAGCATCTTATAAACATTGAACAGATGCTAAGCATTCACAATATCTTGGCATGGGTTTCGGGATGGAAAAAAAGAGATAATTTTAAAGCTGACCTATATGCATCAATTTACGAAAAGTTTGAATTCCAGACAAATTTTCATGCGCAACATTTCATACTTATATAATTATTACGTATATTTAATTGACTAAATTATATAGAGGTAGCAAACAGTCATACCTCCTGAATTTTCAAAGCGAATTTGTTCAGAAAGACCGTGGTCTCTCCACCTCCTTGTGGACAAAACTTTTGCCCTGTCCATTGCCCGGAACCTCCTTCTCCTGACTGCACGTGTGGAATGTGGTGTGGAGTTTGATTCTCGGATTGTTTTCCTAGTTTGTCTACACATAATAACCTGATACCCTCAACGGTTATGGTAGATAACTTTGAGGTCTGTAATTGTTTAATCTAAAACAAATAAAGCCCTGTTGATAATCTAACTTAATATTATGCCAATCAAAGAGTAGATGGTGAGTGCAAAGGTAAAAGTCAAAATAACTGACTTTATTAAGATATACAAAATGTACATGCAAATGCTTTAATACAAGCTGATAAAAAGTAACGTAAAAAGAGAACGTAGTAGTTTTAGGATATAAAAAACATCTTAAATTTATCTACCGTTTACCTTTAAAGAATAGCCTTTTGCAAAGGTTCCTGCTGGACAAAATTGTGGCGGTTGCCAGGTGCCATATCTTCTAACACTGTCCAACATTAAAGTTTTCGTTATCCAGCGATCTAATTCATAAGGTAAGAATTAAACATCAGCAAATTAAAATGACATTGAATGCATATCTAAAATCAAAATGTAAAAAACATCACCGCACACGATTACCAAGAAACTGAAACGGTGTCAAACTATATAGTATAAAAACTATTTTCCTTAACTAAATAACGTTCCTTTTAAATGTGTTACTTGTATTTACAAAATTGTAATTTTCGAGAAGATCCTTACATATTTTGCTATATAATTTGACAAACATTATTCTAGTTTAAAAAGAAGATATTTGAGCCGCGTCACGACAAAACCAGCATAATGGGTTTGAACCAGCAAAAAAATGACAGAATGCATATTCCAAAATTTGATCAGGATCCAAAGCTGAACGCTTACACCTATATAATAAAAAACCCGATACGAACGCCAAAAGGATCCTTTTATTTCAAGACTGCGAGGATGCCAGGCTATGTTGCTATTAATCTGGTCAAACCCTTATTGCTAGTGTTAAAAAGGATATATTGAGTGTACATACTTGATTGATTTTCGACCTCTGTTTGGTATCTTTTAGCTATCAAAGTATTGTAATACTTCATCTTTAGACTTTCTAATTTGGATGCTATTGTTTGGTAATTTATTACAAGGTTTCCCATATATCTTTCATGAAACAAATTCTCAATTGGTTCCAGTTTATATTGCGATGGTACTGGGTTATTTTGCACGGTAGAGGCCCATGTCATTGCGTCGCCGTTAGCCGGTGGTGCTGCTCCAACAGTAATTGTCTTCGTTTCCACTGACTTTGAAAAGTCTGAGGCTTCCCGGCGTTGCTCGGATGTCAAACTAAATCCACCACTCACGCTGAAAAGGCCGCTGTAGCTTGCTTGGGCAGCAACATTAATTCCATTTTCACTTTTCGATTTAAACATCGAACTTTTCATTTTATGCTGATATGAATATCTAGCACCGAATGAAACCTCTTTTGCAAAATGGGTTCCAAATGTATCAAAGAAGTCAAAAACAACATCATTATCCGTTGAGCTGTTCAGTTTATATATCCAATCGTAGAACATTTGTGAGAATGGCGGCGGGTTTTCCTTTTTAAATTTACTGATGTAGTAATTACAATGTGCTGTAGATATTATATACAAAGATTCGCTAGAAGCCAGATCAGCAGACACTTGTTTGTAGCCGGCACTGGCTGAAAACGCCACACCAAATCCACCACCAGTGACTCCTGCATTGGCAGAAAGACTACGAAAAAGCTCTTCAGAATCCTGTATTACATCGGAAGTAAATGACGTTACACAAGACACATCTGGAATGACAAGATATCCTTTTGGAACGCTATAACGGCAATCAGCGGTCATATGTCCGTGGGAATAATCGGGTGCAAATATTGGGTAGGTAAAGCCGGGGTCATGTCCATCTGCTAACGGAAATCCTTTAAATATATCGTAGCCCAATAAAGCATAGTCTATATCTGGAAAGGAGTGCTTCATGTGAGGATTCTGACAGTCTTGCATCATACTGTCCTCTCTCATGCCTGCAACATAGAGAGCTTTATTATGTTTGGATAAAGATCTAAATACTTCATTATTTCATTCAGAAGATCTTTCTCAGAGATCAGAAAAAATGTGTTCTGTGGGATCTGTTGAAATATGCTATCGACTGCCCAAAGTCGTTGATACATTAAATATTTTTGCCAACGAGAAAATAGAGATGGGTTTAAAGTACTTGAATCGATCAAATGACCTAGTTGCTAATCTTTATTTTTGTTATTTGTAAGTGTTATATATCGTTTCAGTATATAAAATAGCTAGTTGGGTTTTGATATTTTTATCAAACATATATGAATTGAATAATTAATGAAATGAGTTACCTATAAATACCTCGTCTGAGATTAATAGCACTATTCTTTTCAAGACACTAACAAAAATTCACAAGTGACTAGTTTTGTTTTTTGTTTGTTTGTTTTTTTTTGTTGTTGTTGTTGTTTTGTTGTTGTTGTTGTTGTTTTTTCAGATATTTTTTCAGAAATTTTATAAGGATATCAAAGGAAAACTATAAGCATTCCTCTGTTCTCGTTTATGCTTAATTTTTTACCTATATCGAAGTAGTGTTTCCGGTAGGCTTCCTTTTCAGTTTCACCTTGACCTTGCTTGCCATCCCTGTTATGCGGACTATCAGCTTCATCATCGTCAAACAAATTACGGTTTATTGGTAACTTTCTGTCTAATAAAGACAAACCAAGTCTGGAACCTTTTAGTGCTTGTGGGAGACTGGAATGTTGTTTGATTTCTGTCTGCTCCTTCTTCCCTTCTAATTTGTTTCCTAGTTTGCTGTCATACAAAAAAGCATATAGATACAGGTGTTTAGTTAAACATGTGCCGTCGTTTAAAGTGGGACACTAATTGCTTTTTACAAATCACTAAAATAAATAAAACAAAAACTAAAATAATGACCAAAAAATTAAACAAACTATGACTTACTTAATACTTTGTGCCAGAAGAAGAACAGTAAAAACAACCACGACCAAAATGATACATTTTAGGCACGGCTTCAAAAACCACCATTTCTGAAATGTACAGTTAAAGGTGTCAAATATAAAAATTAGCGTTAAATAAATTTGATGATTAAAACAAAAATAGAAATTAAAATTGAAATTAAATCGACGTTGTACATCATATTTACCCTTATAAATGATAAACCTAAAACAAAAAGAAACTTCATTCCTTTTTTTATTTTATTTTATCAAATATTTTCATTTTATTGTCTTTTTCTTTATAAAATTTTATTTCCTTTTTAATTAATTGATTAATTGATAAACTAATTAATTTTTGAATGAATGAATGAATTAATTTATTTATTTATTTATTTATTCATTTTGTAAACCTTACCCGAGTTTTTAAATTAATTCATTACTTATCAGTTTTAAAAACCTTACCGATGTATTTTTACTTTCACAAGAGCAATCTTTAGTGTAATGTGGATTCCTCTGCAACTCCATCACATTCAAATCGTTTTTACCAAGTGGTTCCATCTCAGACTGTTCATATTTTGCATCCATTGTAAAATATTTTCCTAATATCAGTTACTTTATTTCGAAATTTCAAACAAAATTCACTGAGTTAATCTGCGTTTAACGATTGTTATGCCTAAATGAGGAGTCCAAGTAGGTTTTTATACCTTGGATACCGCAAAGCAAAGACCACCTTAGTCATAACGGTTCAAGAAATGGACGGGGATTTTAAACCAGACACACGATTGATCTCAGTGTTTTGTTTTCGGAAAATAAAAATAGTTTATGGTATCATTATTAACCAGGTCATGTTTTGTATATGCTATAAATATCCTAAAATCTTCCGTTACAGCTAATGTTGGGTGTAAAATATCACATATTTGGGTATATGAAAGAGTACAAAAATTAATATAAATATGAAGATGATTTGCATATTTGATATCAGTTTTGTGTATACAATGTAATTGTGTTTCACTAAATACTGATTACGAAGAGTTAAAAAAAAAATATATCGAATGATTAGATATATGAGAGAGGAATAAATAAGATATTTTCGGTTTAAATGTATGATCGTATCTCCTCGGTATTTAGGTGTTTAAATGAATATTACCCTTAAATAAAGATTAAACATGTTTATTTTTATCTCTCTGTTTCTCCTTGTCTGTTAAAATGACTATACATGCTTAATTTTCCTTTGTGCGTTATTTTTTTTTCGCTCTGTTTTCCTTTTTAAACTAAATAAAGCTATCTTTTGGATTAGTTAGTATTACCATTGTACTACAGGGCCTAATTTTTTTAACAATTCTTATCCTATGAAAAGCGACGCTACAAATGTGCAGTATTATAAATATATATAACTGATATTATATGATAAAAAGTGCCGGAACAAGAAAAATTATACTTAAAAAACGTGACATTAAAGGAACTCCACTGAGTTTCAAAAACATTTTTGATTTCTTATATAAAACAGCGGATCACTTAAAACTGAAAGATATACAAATGATAATAAAGAAACATACTCAGAAAAAAATATAAATCGTATTTTAGGCTATTCTTGGCATGATATAAGTGAAAAGCGTTGCAACGCTTTTCAGTTTTGGGTCATTTTTTACATCTAGGAAAACAAAGTGAGCGACTGATCTGTAATTTTACACACAAAATGGACCATTTATCTTTAAATAATATTTACAGTCTCGCCATATATAAAATCCTCAGTACAGTCCCTGTATAGAAGGTAACACGTGATCAAAACAAATAACTGATATTAAATTTTAGAATAATAATTAAATGATGACGATTCAACAAAACGTGCACACCTTTAAACTTGCTAATGTACTAATGTAGTACGAGGCAAACATTGTGGATAAAAGATAGTAGAAGTTTAACATTCCGAGCGCACCTTTAACCTATTATTACCGAAACTCATTTTCAAATCAAACAAACGACATGTGAAACTAATCTCTTGTCGCCGTTTGTACATACATGTATATGGAATGCGTTTGTTTTAAATGTGCAAATATACTGACCACGGTTACATAATCATTTTAATGTAGTTCAAGCAAAACTCTCTATAACTGTTCTATATCTATTTTTATATAAATGACACTTACTGATTAAAATAAAATATTAGTAATGTATTTCGGTAGATATATTAAACAGTTTATAATGACACTGACATACTTTCACTCTATCCAGGAAGCTAAATTATTGTAACCAATACCGAAAGTCGCTCTTTTTGAAAAGTTTCCGTTTAATTGTGAACTTAAATAACCTTGATACATGTATAAGGGTGTAGCTCAAGTAGACTTTAAATATGCCAATTTATCAATATGATAAATTGGGTCGCTCTTACAAATAGTTCCTATTTCTTTTCATTAAATTACTGTTGATTAGATCATCTTTACAAATCTAATTTTAGTTTGTGAATAGCAATTTAAACTGAAATAAAATAGTAGTTCATTTGTAAATAAGCGGTGTGCATTGCAAGTAATCTTAATTGAAAATGTAGACCGATAATATTTATTACAAATGTAGTACTTTAATCAGGCACGTTCCATTGTGTGTGTTTTCGTTGTAGATGTGTTTTTATTTCTAGTAAGCTGACAAAAGAGGGGAAATCACATCTAACCATACAGAAATTGACGAGTCATTTACAAAAATGTTTAGTAAATATTTTATGATATGAAATAATAGATCTAGGTGAATCAAGTTTACATGTAGTAACAAAACATTAACGCTTAACCATTTGTACCCGGCAGTGATAAGCCTTTACCACGACCACCAGTAATTAGGTTCAGTCTGACCAGTTTCTAACTACTGTTGGCAGCTCAAATTGAACGTTTTGTATTGTTATTGAAATCCTTTCAAAATCATATAGCCTGTTCAGAATTTAACGCATGGCAAATTTATAACACAAATTCGCCAATTTAGGGGATAAACTACCCCGGTGTCGCCGATCGCCATTTTACAAACGTTTGTTTATCCGCTACATCTCTAGTGCCTTTATACCTAGTATTCCTTAATTTTCTTTTATTTGTTATTTATTTCTCCCTTTAATAACAATTTCTGGATCATTAGGAATATACATTTTAACCGGACACCACTGATGTTTATTTTTATGAAGGGACTTGTGTATTATTTGACATGTTTAATGAGGGTCTAGACTTATAGTTTCAGTTTTTATTAAACCAAGGCATATAATTATAATATGCAACTGGTTATAACAAACACACGAACAGAAAAATAACAGTTAAAGTCACTAATATCACTATAAAAGAATACAATTATGACTAACAAAGTAAACAAAAAAAGAAATTTTATTGTTCGTTTCAACTAATGAATTCAATACTACATGTATTATACATTGCTACTAATAGGAGGGAACGGAGAATGAGAAGTATTATTTTTTTAAAATTTTAACATAATTTTTTTTACAAAATAAAGATAGTTTTAGCAGAATTTTTTATCACAACTCTTCATTAATCTGTCAAGTTTAAAAATATTGGGATGAATATAAAAACTAGGTAGAAGAGATTTACGTCTTATGTCATTAAATAGTCAATACTAAAATTCATAAAACCTTTTTATAAAATATGTTATACAAGTAAACGTGAAAAAAAATCTCCTGATCAAAATGTGAGCATGTTTTATTTGTTTATACTACTTGTTTAATCATATAATGTGGTACCAATTCTCGCGACAACATTTAGGGTATTTTGGAACATGTACATATATCAAATATTAGAACTATAGACACGTATCATTAACTCACTGAAGTTGTGTTTGTACATCAGATATGATTTTGTTAAAAAAAAAACAAACAAAAAACACCTGATAAAGGGCAGTGAAAATAAAGATAAAACAAATTAACTAGGACTTAAAGCGTGAAAAACTGAAAGCAAAGGGGAACCTGACTCCTTAGATTCCGATATGATAACGATGACCTTGCAGATATGGATACTAGCATTACACTTGTAAACATGCTACTCCCGTGACATTCCTTATGTTAATAAACGTGCTACGTATATATTCCAGCACGTTGAAAGCATAGCAAAATCTATGGTATCATAATACAAAATAAAGAAAAGGAAACGAGGAATTGCTGATTTGACGGTATTTTTTATCCAAGAATATCGCTAGTTATTGCACCTATTTTCGTGCATTAACATCTGTAGTCGCCCTCAGACTTTTTATTTGTTTGGGTCGTCAGACCAAACAAATAATGGTAGCGAAATTTCAGAGCCTAATGCTGTTAATTGCAAATGCCTTAAGTAGTCCACTTTTTGAAGCGGTTACTTCCCTTTATATGTACACTAACGCTGAAAAATTCAGGGGAGATCAATGCGTAAAGATTGTCAAATGACAGGCGCATTAATTTTCAAGCAAAGTAGTTCCCGAATGGTCGAAGATTTCTAATATTGTTTCATTCTTTATAGATATACATGCTTACAGTAAGCTCCATGATTATTTAAATCTGTGTTTAGCGTCGAAATAATAAGTTACAAACCCTAATTTAGAATAGTATGGTTTTCTTCAAGACGTTAACATATAACTTCACCGTGGCAGAGGGTCGCCTATGAATCAAGAGGTCTCGAGTTCAAATCCCAGTTGAAGCAACTCAATTTTTTTTATTTATTTTTTAAGTCAGATAACATTGAATTGACTATCAGTGTTGCAATTAGTCTTATATCCAATTTACTACAGTTAAAACACTGGAAAGCATTGGTGGCACTATACAAAAACAAATTGGTTTATAATCTCACAACCTTCACCTTTCTGACATTCTGAGACCCAAACAAATTCAGCGCCTTCTGTGCTTTGATTAAATCCCTCACTGGGAAGACTCGGGCTTTAAATGTGTCCTCGTTCTTCTGAAGATGTTAATGCATACAAGAAGGTTAACCCTCTTATAGTAATCGAAATAAACAAATAAATTTAATCACATTTGGACCATTTGACAGCACATACTCTAAAGAAAGCACCATAATAATTATAGTATATTTAAATTAGACTCGTTAAAGAAACTTTAAATCATATTGAACTATGCAGAATGATATTTAGTGTACAAAACTATTACTAGTACTATTACTAGTGTCCCAAAATGCCCTTTTTTCTGTTCATAAATACCCGACGCGTCTCATGTTGTTCTTTTTAATGAGGTATATCGCTTTGTTTTTGCATATATGCTTATGAAAGTGGCCCATTAGAGACTATAGTCATAAAGTCAATAACAATACTGAAACAAGATTATTTAAAATCACAGTAACAAATATGCCTAAGATGTCCCAATATACCCGACAATGCTCGATCTACTCCGATGTGTTGTTTATTTTTGTAATTATTTGTTTAATATGTAGATTCTATATGCATATTGTATTTTGCTGTTACCTTTTTGCTATTCGCGCGTCTAAGTGTTCAACATTGCATTTTCTCATGCAGACAATTAGTACTATAATAAAGCGTGGCTACATTAGTTGGCGCGTAAATTTGAAATTATTTAGAGGTGTTCAAGACATGTATGTTACACGATTGAAATATTTTATAAAGCGCCACCAGGAAATAAACACTGATTGCCTACATGTACTTAAAAGGTTTACTTGTTTTGTTTTTTTATATTATTTAACAACTATACAACGAATGACATTATTACAATTAATAAATGCTTATTATTATCAATATCATAAAGACAATACTTATTAAAATGCATGTTACGTGAAGTAAGAAGTTTTGGTTTCGTGCCAAACACCTGTGGTGATTAGAATCTACTGTCATAGGAAACCTATACTTTTACGTCATAATTATCAAATCTAAATGAGTAAAAAAATTAAAAGAAAAAAAATAAGATTTATATATAAAATCACAAATATTATTTTTCTATGTACATTTGGGATTTTTAAAAGTGGCACTAGGTCCTTTTTTCATTGTCAAGTTGAGCTGAAATTCAAAAGTTAATGATTGACCAACAGGGGAATGTTTTACAGTATAAAGGATAAAATATAAGTCTGGTAAAAATACTGACCCACAGTGGCCACTCTTTATATATTATATAAACACTAAAACAGAATGTTACAGGTAAATTCTAATGGATATTTATTTATAGAATTTTTCTTTGGCCACATATTAACAAATTTATCGTTTGTGAAATAAATTATAAAATTGAAGGAATTATGGCATATTGTAAATATATTTTAAGTAATAAGTATACCTTGGTGAGCATAATGTCACTTTTATGTACAATTAAATTGCCATTTTCTTCGCATTTCATCATTTTAGGGATCCACACATATATACATATGGTCATAAATATATATAATGGTCCATGCTAAAGAACATATTTAGCTAAAAAGAAATTATGCATCCCAGTTGAAAGATATAACATCAACTTAAAAGTTCTTGAGTTCTTTAGTACATGCCAACACATGTGACGTATCAACTACGTGGCTTTATGCTAAGTAGGTTATTTAAATATCGGTAAAAATGTGTACTTTTTAGGTTAGTATACATTTTATAATGACAAATTATTGTGATTATCGTCCCTAGGGAAAAGCAGTTTTATATTCCTAAGAGTACATACTAAATACCGCATTCTGGTATATACCGACAAGGTGCTTGGATGATTAGCTTGTTCTTAAGTAGGTACCGATTCATTATTAGAAAATGTTCATCTTAAAGAAAAACTCCTTTTAAGTCTGGGACATAATCCCTGGTTTTAAAAGTGTTCACATTAAGCTAGGATTTTTAACAGATCCCTTAAGACACAGTCTGACTCTTCACATAGTATGTCAGATATTACAAGACAGTATTAATGTCATCATTGCCTTTGTTTTCAACATTGTTATGTTTGTTTCTCTCTTCAGATTCATTGTACAATAGCAATGCAGTATCCTATCAACGTATATCGGTCAGTGTTTACAGACAACATTGCACAAGCCAACAAAAGAATATCAGAACTGTCATACAGTTATGCTTGGCCTAATGTCATTGAAGAAATACAAAGTTTTCCAGACATGGTTAACACATGTAAATTCCCAACGAACAATTCTGAACCAGCTAAATTATACACACCTTTACATCAAGCTGCCAATGGGAGAGCACAGAAGAACGTGTTTGAAGAATTACTTAAACTTGGAGCTTCCAAAACGTTGAAAACTGCAAAGGGTGAAACGGCATATGATATTGCGAAAAGACTAGGAATGAGTGAAGACATTCTAAAACTGATTGAAGTTCCTGAAGAAGTTACTAAAAATTACGAGGAGATACAAAAAATGGAAAAGGGACTTCATGACGTAATTAAAGAAAGAGTTGAGAGTTTGATTACAAAAAATGGTCAAGCACTTCCTCAGTTGGCATATCTTTACGAGTTTGGAGAGTTTTATTATCCAGTTCCAGGGATGTATGGTGGCTTTTCGGTATCCAGACATGAAAAGGGTATACAGGCAGAAAGTTGGATCCGGGTTTGTGGAGGAAGTGGCCAGCGTCATGTGATTGACCGGAATGGGAATGTTACCTTAGATGCAGAGGGATTTTGCTAAATTATTAATTAATGCAATATCTACGTTAATGTATACCTCATTTATTAACACACATTTAAGATTTGAATTAATTTATCAAATAAAATATGCCAAAAGATTTTGAATAGTAACGCCACAGCCGTTGCTTTGAAAGCGGCAATTTTTGCCTTACCTTCGAGGCAATATCTGCTGCTTTGTAAATATTGCTGCAATTTTATTCATTTATGTTATCATTTCTATTAGTCATTAATGAACTGTCCTTAAATATGTGTAGTCGTCATATTTTATAGATATTACAACTTAAATGACGACTATATGTAGGAAAACAGATATTGAGTTATCAATAAAACGTTTTTCTATGAGCGGCGATTTCTGTCGTACCTGGTAAAATGCCAATGAAATACTAATGTTAACTCAATACCAAGATATTTGAGTAATTAATTGGAGTACTATTGAACTACGCTGCACAGAAATATAAATGACCAGTAATACCAAGAACATGTATATTTTCACATTCTTTGTAATATAAATAAATGCTAAATAAATTTAGCTGTTTTTACTCAAGACACAGTCATCTATGAGACCACCACATTAATTTATTTTTTGTACGCACTGTCACAGAATAATACGTCTTTTTAAATAAATTACGTCAATGACTTAAGAAATAATATATCCCAAACTGTGATTTTATTGCTCAATAACATCACTGTTTGTAGTTTGGATGCGGGGAAGTATATCACGAGGGCGTAGCCCGAATGATATAATGGTGTGCATCCGAACGACAAACAGTGATTTTAACAAGCATTAAAATCACCGATTTGGATATATTATTTCGATTCTAACACAACATCAACAAATAAATGCTGCTGTATCAAAACTGCTCAAGTTGATGGTCTTAACCCGAGTCATATTATTTCGATTCTAACACAACATTATCAATAAATGCTGCCTTTGCAGAATTAAAAACCAGTTTGGGGAAAAATGTTTTTTTTTTTTCATTTGGCCACCAAACCCTTTTCCTCCTATTTAAATGATTAAAAATTTCTTGAGAAATTTTTCTTAAAAATTTAACCAGGGTTTGATCTAGGAAATGAGGGGGAACTTTAAAAGTGGGGCAAACGTTTTTTTTGGTCCTAGAAAATAAACCCAAGAACAGTTTTATTGTTGTTTTTAAATTTAAAAATACAAAGGGAAACTGGGGTTTGGGAAACGGGTCTGGGGTGCATCCCTTTCTAATTTTCGGGGCTTTACTTTTTTTTTGTTTACTTTAAAAATATTTTCATATCACCCAAATTTAATTGAAATTGAAATAAGAACCAAAATTTAATTAATCTCTATTTAAAAAAAATGGGTTTAAATCAAAGCAATATAGAAAATTATTGGGAAACCATAAAATTTGGCCATTTTTTTTAAGTAGCAGCTGAATTTTAAAAAAAAATTTTATATTTAGGGGTCATACATTTGAAAAAATAAATGATTTAAGATAATTTGAGAAGCTTTTTTAAAAAACCCTTTTGGGGTTTAAGAAATAAAAACCCCCCAATTTGTGGCCCCTTTTCCTCAGATCCTTTAATAGAATATCCCAATAAAAAAAAATAATTAAAAATATTTTATTTTTTACCTCTAAAAAAACACCTCCCTTAATATTTACTTATATTTTTAAAAAAATGTTTTTTTGCAAACCAAAACCCCCTGTAAAATACCGAGAATTTTTTTTTAAAAAATTTTCACCCTTTAAAAGCACTTCCCCAGATTTATCCCAATTTTCCATAAAAAATGTTTTTTAAAAAGTTTTTAAAAAATTTTAATGGCCCAAAAGTAAATTATTCATTTTAAATCCCCAAAAAAAAAGGGACAAAAAAAAGCAAAAATACTCTAATCTCCCAAATTTTTAACAAACAAAAAAAATTAAAACCCCCAAAAAATCAGTCCGAAATTTGCACACATTAAATCATTATTTGATCTGATGTTTTTATTTTTAAAAAAATTTTAACTGAAAGCTTTAAATTTTAAAAATGAAAAAAAGGGACTCTTTTGGGGGCGGAAAGTTTTTAAATACAATTTAGAAAAAAGGGAAATCTGAAATATTTTATTTTCAAAAAATTTAAAAAATTTCATTTTTCCAAAAAATTGATTCTGATTGAAAAAGTTTACATGTACAAAAAAATTTAAATTTTACACTAAAAAATTTTACCCTTTATTTAAAATTCCCAACTAAACAGAAATGATGGTTTAAAATAGGGAAAAATTTACATAGAAAATTACTGCCCCTTGAAATGAATCAAGTTTCCAAATTTTAGGGAAACCTTTTCATTTAAAATTAAGGGGGACTCTACATAAAGGGGGCCGAAAATTTTTCAAAAAATTTTTGTTAACTAATTTTTAAACCTCTGTTTAAAAAAACAATCAATTTTTTTGTCCCCGGGCCCAAAAAAATGAAAACTGTTGCAACCTTTCACCAAATCGGCCCAAAAAAGGCAAAAAAAAAATAATTATAAATTTTAAAAATTACAGGAGTATTTTTTTATCAATTAAAAAATTTTATGTACCATTAGTAAAAAAAAAAAAAATTCAAATTTTTTTTAAGGGAAATTTGGAAAACCCAAGGGGCCCTGCCTTAATTAAAAATCATTTATTAATGCATATTGAACAAAGAAACCATTTGTTTATTTAAAAACCTTTTAAAAATTTATGAATTTACCAGTACTTTTTTGGGAAAATTTTTTTAATATTTTTCTGATTTAACTCTGATTTTAATTTTTAGTCTTACTGCAAGCTTTCGGGGATTTCCAAAAATTTTTTAACATCAGCCAAACCCGTAAAAATCATCTTTTTGGGAACGTTATTTTAAAAATTTTTTTATCCAACAATGTTCAAAAATTAAAAACCAATTTTGACTAGAAAAAGGGATGATTTTTGTTTATAATCAAAGCAAAAGTTTCGGAAAAAAATTTTTGGGTAAAATAACCGATTTGCTACAAGGGGCCCAATGTTAGAATTTTTTTCAAAAACCTTTAAATTATTAAAAACAAACCAAAACATGTTTATGGCCACATCTTGGAGGCGAACATTTATAAGGGGTTTTCCATAACTAACCATTTTCCCAACGATAAAACCGTATAATCCAAAAAAGAAAAAATTCTTTAATTTTAAATATCCCCCCGGTTTTTTTTTTAATTAAAACAACCAAAAAACTAAAACATAAGGTTTTATTTAAAATTTTAAATCATGGCTAAACTGAAAATTTTCTTAAATTTAAGCTTACCTAAAAACCTTTACCAGGCTAAAATTTAAAAATTTTTTAGAAAACCTATGGTTATATCAAATCCCAAAATATCAAAGCTCTACCCTTTTTTATTTCAAAAAATTTTTTAAAATTTTGCATTTTTAAAATCCTTTTTTTCCCTTGACCTACTTATGCAAACAGACCCGGGAACCATTGTATCAACTTGGCAGGGGACCACCCTAGGATCATTCCTGTAAAAGTTTGTTGCTGTGAGTCATTTGGGTTTCTGGGGAATGTTGATAAGAATATACTGACGGACGCACTAGACGACGGACGGTGGGGAATCACAATAGCTCACCTAGATGTAAAAAACATCTTAATCTGCCCAATCTTCATTGGGCCATCTTTCAAGCATCAAGAAGGGATCTCAAATTTTTTCAAAATTTTTTAAATGTTATGTAAAAAAAACATTAAAAATCTTCCCTTTAATAAAAACTAAAATGTGTCCATAGGAACGGGTGCCCCGTCCGCGCACTGTTCCCTGTCAATCTTATGACTCTAGGTCAAATATTTTTTGAAAAAACTAAAAATCTTTTTACTAAGTAAAAGGAAAGAACTTTACAAATATGAATAAATCCCCAAGCAAACCCCAGTTGAAAATTGCAAATTTTATAACTACTGTAATTCAAGGGGCAATACTCTAACAAACTGAAAAAAAAATCCACATCAAAGTCCCAGGTTCATAGCTTCACAGTGAGGTGCAACATTAATTCCTGTAAATTTTAGTGATGTTGATCAATTTTCCTGTTAAGTTGGTGGATTCAAGGATCAAATAACAACAATAATGAAAACAGTTTTACATAAGTCAAGGGAAATAACTCTTCGAAAATACTGGATAAAACCACAAGAGAAACCCAAAAGGAACAAACTACATGCTGAGCAACTTTCCAATAGAGGGGTTTTAATGACTCTATGTCAAATCCATTTTTGGAGTTACAATGCGACACAATGTTGAAATTTGCAAACATTTTCTAAAGTCAAGGGGCCAATAACTCTAAAATACTAAATAAACCAGACGAAAAACCCGGGTCAAAACACCCCATGTGATCAACATTCCTGAAGTATCATGATTTAAAAGGTAAAAAATATTTTTTGATTTACTCACAAAATTTTTGAAATTTCCAAAATTTTTAAACCAAAGCAAGGGAAAAAACTTTTAAAAAATACAAAAAAATTCCCAGACAAAAAAATCCCCAGGGCACAATTCAATACTGATAAATTTTTCCCTTAAATTTTCAGCCCTTAGGTAAAAAAATTTTTTATTTACACACAAAAGGTTGAAAATGAAAAAATTTTTACTAAGTCGGGGCAAAAAATCAAAAAATACAAAAACCCCAGACGAAAAATACCCGGGGTGCACAACTTCCAATGATCAACATCCTGGTAAAGTTTCAAATGACTCTAAGGTAAAATACTTTTTTGAGTTACAGCGCACAAGTTGAAAATGACCAAAAATTTAACTAAGTCCCAAGGGCAATAACCTTTAAAAATAACAAATAAATCCAGACAAAAAATACCCAGGTGCACAACTAACACATACTGATGCAACCATTCCTGTAAAGTTTTCATGACTCTAGCTCAAATACTTTTTGAGTTACATGCGAACAAGTTGAAAATGACAAAATTTTACTAAAGTCAAAGGGCAATAACCTAAAAATAACTAAATAAATCCAGACGAAAATACCCAGGTGCAAAAACAACACATACTGATCAACCAATTCCTGTAAAGTTTCATGAACTCTAGGATCAAAATACTTTTGTGAGTTACATGCGACAAAGTTGAAAAATACAAAATTTTTTCTAAAAAGTCAAGGGCAATAACTCTAAAAAAAAAACTAAAAATATCCAGACGAAAATACCCAGGTGAAAAATTCAATCTAAAATAAAACATTCCCAAAATTTCTTGAATTTCCACCTTATTTGCAAGAACCTTTTCCGGAAACAAATTCAAGTCAAGGCAAAACTCAAAAAAATACTAAAAATACCGACAAAAAAACCCCGGGGTGCAAACTTCACTGTTGATCAACATCCCATAAATTTTTCGTTAAATTTCCCAAAGCCATTTTCAGAAACTACTCCGGAAAAAAATTGGGGACGGAGGACGGACGGAAACGGACGGACAAATAAAAAACTATATCCCCTCCCTTTCCTCAGGGGGGATAACTAGAAGTCCACGAGTGGGGATGTGTCGCCTTTAACAATATAGTTTGGGAAAATGGCCAGAAAAGAAAATTAAAAAAGGGGGCAAAAACTAATAAATAAT